CCCTCCCCCAATCAGCCCCCCAACCCCAATGTGGGGGGGGCAGGCCTCCTGCCAACCTCCCGCCATCTCCTCCTCCCAACAGGCCTGGCCCTGATCTGCCCCGACTGGGGCCAGGCCGGTGGAACCGCATCCCTGCACATTCGTGCACTGGGCCTCTAGTATTATAATAGATCGATAAATAAATAAAGTGAGGGAGCCAGGGAGATGGACAGGGACATAAAACAGGAGGAAGGGCCGAAACCGGTTTAGCTCAGTGGATAGAGCGACGGCCTGCGCACTGAAAGGTCCCGGGTTCGATTCCCGTCAAGGGCATGTACCTGGGTTGCGGGCACAGACCCGGTAGGGGGCGTGCAGGAGGCAGCTGATCGGTGGTTCTCTCTCATCGATGTTTCTCTCTATCCCTCTCCCTTCCTCTCTGTAAAAAATCAATAACATATATATTTAAAAAAAAACAAAACAAAAACAGGAGGAAGGTGTGTGACAGGCCCTACTGTGCGCCAGGTGCGCCCTAAGCCCTTTCCGGGAACTCAGTCATGGATTCCTCACCAACCCTCTGGGGTCAGAACAAAAATCACCCTGATTTTACAGATCGGGAAACAGGTTCAGAAATGTCAGGGTCTGGCCCACAGCCCCCCAGGCGCTCAGGGGGAGGGGCCGACAAGGAGAGTGAGGAGGGAGGGGGGTCCCCATCCCCAACTCACCTGCCCCCGTCACCTCCAGCAGGTTGCTCAGCGAGGTCCATCTATTATCCCTCATGGCATAGCGGCAGCGGTACAGGCCCCGCGTGTCCCCCGTCACCGCCCCCAGGGGGAAGCGATGCTCCAAGCCCCCCTCACTGAGGCGCACCCGCTCCTGGAGCTCCCCATCCTTGAACAGCTGAAATTCCGAGGTGACCAGGAGGGCCCGGCAGACCAGGGTCAGTTTGGCCCAGGGTTCCTGCAGCGAGCCAGCCTCTGCCCACAGGTCCGGCCGGGTATCAACAACTGTGGGGGGCGCGAAGGTCAGACCCAGGGAGGAGGACAGGGGCACCCCCTGCGTGCGCCCACCTTCCCCAAGTCCCTGTGCACCCAGCGTCTTCAGGTCCCAAGTGCTCCCACCACCGCTAGACCAGCTCCCACCCACCGTCCCAGCCCAGGCCCCGACTCACATACAGCCCCTTCGGCCGCCGGGCTCAGGGAGAGACCTGTGGGGACAGGCCGGTGAGGCCCCCATTCCTGCCCCTTCCCGCCCGCCCGCCCTCCCCAGGGGACCCGGGCCCAGGGCCCCTCACCCCAGAGCAGCAGGAAGGCTGCCAGCGT